CGAGGCGGAGGGAGGAGCCACGGCGGGATGAGGAGATCAGGGGCGGGGCAAATGCAGACATTTATAGGAGGCGGGGCCAGGTAGGGTAGGCTAGCGAGTTAGGGGGCGGAGCCAGAGTCTGACAAGAATGGAGCGGGGCTATGGTGGTTCAGGGATTTGGTGCCACCGTGGAGGTACGAGGAACAGAGTGGGGGTCATGACCACGAGGGGGAAGGGTTTAGGGGCAGAATTAGGATCTTGATCCATGGGATTGAGATCTAGCCCTTCAGGAGGCGGAGCCAGAGTCGGGCAATGGGTGGGGTAGAACAAGCCAGGGGCGGGGCCTTCCAGGGTGAATGGGAGGAGGGGCCGCGCTCACCGCCTGGGCCCTTCGGCAGATTGCTACGCTGCCAGTAGAGGTTGAGCACTTTCTGCGGCTGCTGCATGCCAAAGGGGTAATAGTCGGTGCCCATGGAAGTCTGGAAGTACTGTCCGAGCAGCTTTGACTCCCCTAAGGTCACATGACTCCGCAGTTTCTCAGGAGGCTGGTGGCGGCTGGATGGCTTGGCCGGGGGTGGCGGCTGTAGAACCACGTGGCATCAGGGAAGTTCCCATGTCCCGTACCTCCCAAGGCCCGGTTGGAGGGAAGATTTGGGCGCTGTACTCTGGGCCCTACGTGGTGGCGCTGGGAGTTATATTCTCTTATTTTACAGACAGGGCCACTGAGGCTCGGAGTGGTTAAGCGATTAACCTAGATCACTCAAAGAGATCCAGGAGATCCCAACTCCTACCTCAGGGCCTTTGCACATACTATTCTTTCTGCTTGGGAAGCTCTTTTCCCTGATAACCCTTGCCTCCTTCCCCACTTCCGGCTGACCTGGCCATAGAAGAAGTGCATGGAGGTGGTGAGGCTGCCTGGGCCCGGGCACCAATTTCCTTCCAGGATGTGCGACTCCGGAGTCTGGTCGTGGTGAAGAGCAAAAGGCTCTGCCAATGGCAGAGCGGGTACTGAGCAGCTCTAGGAGGCTGTACTGGGAGCAAGGAGCAGAGTAGCTGGCAGGCTCTCACCTGGTTCCCGGGCATAGAAGTGCTCAGCCTTGGTGGTCTTGTCATGGAAGAGGCCATCTCCAGGACAAATATTCACACAGTGGATGTCGGCTGAGGCCTGAGCCTTGTCATACCTGCATATAAGGTGGGGATCCATCTGGGCCCTTGCAATTCCCAGGAAAAGGGAACAGGGTAGACTTCCCAGTGGCCAAGCCATGCAGTGCTAATGATGGGAGATCTAGCACAATAGTGGGCCTTGCCTTGAGCGACGGAGACCTTAAAGGCGCAGTATTGGTCCTAGAGCCTTAGGTGGCACACTACACATGTCGCTGAGAGCCCTTTGCCCTGTCTTGGTGGGAGGTTATTGTCCCTTTGTACCTGTCTGGGGGCAGACCCGGGGGCCTGTAGGCTTGTTTCTGCTCCGAGTACATTGGTCCATAGCCAGTCTTGAAGTCTCCTAGTGCCACGCTGGAGAAGTCCTGTGAGTGGATATGGGTGGGAAGGGCAAAGCCACCCAGCCCCCATCACTGCCTTCCCCAGAGGCATCAGCCCAGCCTTGATTTACCCTCTTATACATCAAGGCAGGTGGGCCCACCAGGGCTTGGAACTGTCTCTGGTAGGAGGTCCCGGCATTGTGTGTCCTGTGGTCCCACCTGAGGGGGTTAGGGCCCCCTGAGGATGGGCAAGAGGAGAGAGAACGGGATTGAGTCCCTGCAGCCTCAGGGCAATTTGATACCTGGCCTGGGAAGGGGAGTTGGGCGGTTCTGGCTAGCCTAGCCTGAGGGCTGCTGGCAAACACCCAAAATAACAATAAGGATAACAAGAATAACTACCCAGTAGCAGTAAGGCATCTAGGTTAAGCACTTTACAGCTCATTTGGGAGCTGGTATTATCTCCTCCACATATTTCACAGCCCCTCTGAAGCTCAAAGAGGTTAGAAATCACAGAAATTCAGAACCAGAACCGAGTCAAATCCAGGTCTGACAATCCTTGAACCCAGCCTGAAGGGACTCTGACTAGTGATGTCTACCAGCAGTTCCCCTGGAGTCAGAATTGACACATCACATATGTGACAGCTATTCTGTTGAGTGCCCACTATATGCCATTAGCATCATACACTCTGGGCTCTTTTTGCTTCACCAGCTCCTGTGAAGTGGGGCCCTGTGATTGCACTCATTTTCGGATGAGGAAAGCATGCTAGGAGAGGTCAGCTTTCTTAGAGTGACACAAGTACCAAGGCAGCCGGGCGGGGGGTGGAGGTGGGGCACTCAGCAGATTTGTCTGACCCCAAACCAGCATTCATGACTTCTCCCCACCACACAGACCTCTGAGAAGATTTAGGATATGCCCGTTCTATGGATACAAAAACTGAGGCTCAAGGAGGTTCCAGAGTTTCTCAGTCCCTTACTATTGACCTTTGCGGCTGGATAATTATTGTGGGGGGCTGGCCCGTACGTGGTAGGATGTTTAGCAGCATTCTTGCCAGTAGCATTCTCTCCCTCACTGTGACAACCAAAATGATCTCCAGACATTGCCAAATGTGCCCTGGGGGAGGGCGCAAAGTTCTCGCCCAACCTGAGAACCTCTGGGTTGAGCATATCGCACAGGGCGCGCGTGAGCGCTCACCGAGGTGGCGAGAGGACGCGCGGGGCTGCGGGCACGCATCGTGGGGCTTGAAGAGTGCCTGGTGCGTGGTGGGCGGGATGCGCAGCTTGGCTGGGTCGCCTGGAGGTACCGAGTCGCGGTCGAAGACGAGGCGCGCGCCGCGGATCTGCTCGCTGGCGCGCGCCGGCGACGCTGGCCAACCAAAGTGAGCACGCGTGGTGGAGAAGAGGGCGCGGGAGCGCGCGTCCGCGTGCATGTGCAGGTTGCTTCTCTGCATGGCGGGCGTACGCTCCGGCGACCGCTCCTGCTCCCTAGACGGCGTGGGGAGCGGCGCGAACGCCCAGTGCATCTCCGACTCGTGGTCCTCCACCGCCCAGCGCGCGTCCTGCTGGAAGAAGGACCCGCGGGGCGGCGGCTGGCACGGCGGCACGCGGGCGACACCCGTGTAGCCCGGGAAGTGTCGTTGCATCGTGGAGTGCATGGCGTCTACGTGCAGCCGCGAGTCGGACCCCAGTTTGAAGTGCGAGGCCTTAAGGAAGTCTAGCCGGGCCATTGGGCTCGGCAGGAGAGCGCCCGCGGCCATTGCTGGAGGCGACGCCACCTGCAAGGGAGCGGAGACACGGGACTGGGCAAGTGCCCATCGGGACTATGCTGCCTTTTACTCCCTACTGTGTGCCAGGCACTGGGCTCAGGGCTGGTGACGTCGTAGGAAACAGGCTCAGCCCCAGGGCCACCCCCAGGGAAAGTAAGGTACAAATAATCATTCATTTGGCACTTACTGCGGCCTGGCAGGGACCTGGGCCCTCGAGGGGCCCTCCTCTTGTGGAGACGATAATGGGGGGCGGGTGAGGGGGGGAGGTGACATATAATATTATATACCATAACAATATATAATATAATGACATAAATTTCAGAGTAAGTAGAAGGTGACAAGTGCTGTGGGAACAAAAGTCACAGTGGGTAGAAGGATGAGAGTTTAGGGTGGGAGGGTTACAGTTTTACAAAGGAGGAAGACATCAAAAAATAAATAAATAAAAAGGAAGACATCATTGAGACCATAGTTGAGCAAAGACCTGAGAAAGGTGAGAGAAAGATATTTGGGTACCTGAGGGAATAGCATGCCAGGCAGCTGGAACAGCAGGTGCAAAGGCCCTGAGGCTGGCACAGAGTGAGCAACAGAGAGAGCCTCAGAATTAACCTTTGCATTCTACAGTTTGTCTGATATGGGAATCCCCTCTCCTCACCCTCAGTAAGTTGGTAAGGCCATGGCTCTCCCCTCTTTCAAGTCTGGGAACCCACTTCTGTCTCTCTGCCACACTCCTCCTCATTGGTTTTCCTGCCCTCTGCAATTGTCCTGGGCCCTGACTATTCTCCTGGATCCCTTCCTGTCCTCAGACTGTCTGAGATTTACACACCTCTCACTTACTTCTCTGGCCTTCAGCTCCAGGCTCTCAGCTCCCCGTTTAGTCAACTGGGACTTTCTTACCTTCTCTCAGAGCAGAGGTGTCTCCCCCACCCTCCTCCCTTATCCTTGGAGACCAGCCTCTCAGGTGCAGCACCCCTGGCTCAGGTTCTCCTCCTGCAGGAAGACTTCCCAGACCACTTCAGTTCACAACTAGTTGCTCATGTCAGCCTCTAGAAAACATGCATCAAGGGTTCAAGGGTTTTTTTTGTTTTGTTTTGTTTTTTAATGAAACCACAGTTTTTCAGTGTCTAAGTTTGTTGCTTTTTCTATCATTTTGTCACCTAAAATAGCTGAGAATCGAGATGTCAAATGTTTTATAGGAGAATCTGACAACTGCAATTGCTGGCTGGGTCACCTTGGAATAAGTAACTGGGCTCCTTTGAGCTTCAGTTTCCTGATCAGAAATGAAGATAGGGTACTTACCTCGAGGTGTGTCATGGGGCTAATGAGTCTTAGAAAATGCGCTTGGCATGAGGCTGACCCTCAAGGCTCCCTCTGTCCCTGGCCTCCCAGAGGACGATCATGTGCTCCTTCCGAGGCTGCATCCGAGGGTGGTCCAGTATTGCCCATTGTGACCCAAAGAGGTTCTCCAGACAATGCTGTCACAATGGTCCCCCAGCAACTCTAGGGGCAGCCGGGAGAAAAATCAGGAGCAAGGCCACAGGATCCTGCTTCTTGAGAACTCAGGGAGCCTGCCAAGTGATTTGACTTCTTGAAGTCTCGATTTTGTCATCTGGACAATGGGGCTGGGAATGGTAATCACTTCGGAAAGCAGCAGCGAGGATTTGATGCAGTAGGCTGCTGCTGTCTGTTATTACCATTTTCCCAAGTTTTCCTCCTCTTCTCCAGGAACGCGCTTGCGGTTGAACAAATTTGGGCTTATTACTAGTTGCAGTGAGGGAGATCACACTTGTGGGAACTGTGGGCGTCTCAGGAGCGTGTGAAAAGAGGGACTTATCATGGAGAGGATGCGGAGAGAAAGGAACCCCCATATGCTGCTGGTGGGACTGCAAATTGGTACAGCCACTATGGAAAACAGTATGGAGGATCCTCAAAGAACTAAGAATTGATCTACCATATGATCCAGCAATCCCTCTCCTGGGTATTTACCCCAAAGACTTGAAAACATATATCCGAAGATATATTTGCACACCAATGTTCATAGCAGCATTATTCTCAGTGGCCAGGACATGGAAGCAACCGAAGTGTCCTACAATAGACAACTGGATAAAGAAGCTGTGGTACATACATACGATGGAATATTACTCAGCCATGAGATGAGATGAAATTCTGCCATTTGCGACAACATGGGTGGACCTCAAGATAATCATGCTAAGTGAAATAAGCCAAACAGAAAAAGTCAAAAACCACGTGATATCACTTATATGGGGGAGACAAACCTAAAAAGCACCAAGTAAACAGGACAAACAGAGACTCATGGACATGGACTATAGACTAGTGGTTACCAGAGGGGAGGAGGAGGGGGAAGGTAGATAGGGTAAAGGGCATCAAATATATGGTGATAGAAAGAAATCTAACTATGGGCAGTGAACACACAATGCAATATGTATGCCTTACTGCTGAATTGTACACCTGAAACTTACTGGATTTTGTTAACCAATGTCACCATAATAAAAATAAATTTTAAAAATAAGTAAATAAAATAAATAAACATAAAAAAAGAGGGACTTATCAGACTTGGGCTTGTCTTAGGTACTTCCATGGAGGTTTAAGGAAGGGGAGCTTTGCTCTGTGCTGGATACTTTTACTGGTTGGAAATTTGACTTTCTTTTTTGAGATGATTCTACAAAAAAATAAAATATACAGCAACAAGAAAAGGGAAATGGGGAATTAATGTTTAATGGGGATAGAGTTTCAGTCTGGGAAGATGGAAAAGCTCCAGAGGTGGGTGGGTGGTGGTGACAGTGGCACAGCATCGTGAATGCATATAATGCCACTGAACTGGACACCTAAGGATAATTAAATGGGTAAATTTTACGTTATGTATATTTTACCATGATAAAGGAAAAAGCAGTTTCTTTTTTAAAAAAAGCAGATGAAATAAAGATATATGGTCGAACCTGTCTCATTTGATAATGCACCAAATCACCTACTGAATGGGTTCTTTCTTTTTTTTCTAATTAAGGTATAATTGACATATGACATTGTGGAACTTTAAGGTTTATAACCTATTGATCTGATACATTTATATTGCAATATTATCGTCATCATAGCATTAGCTAACACCTCTCGTAATTATAATTTCTTCTAGTTTGGGAACAATTAGTATCTAGTCTCTGAGCAAGTTTAATGTTTATGGTACAGTTTTGATTGGTAAAGGAGTGTTGGTGACTCAGATTAGCCAGGAAAAGCGAACGTGTCACTGTTGTGGTTTGGCCAATGCTCACCCTTTGCCTGCGTTCAGACATGATTACAAGTGGTTTTGTTTTGTCTTGTTCCACCACGGTCACCAAGTGGCCTTATCTGATGGTGGCGTTCTCCAGAATTATTTATGTCCAGCTTGAGAACACTGGGGACTCGCAGTGACTGCCAGGCCAGCTCCTAGCAACACCAAGGCCAGCTGGGAATGCCAGGCCAGCTCCTGTCTCTTTCTCAAAGGTCAAGCTCAGCCCTAACTGGAAGATGGAGGATGCTGGGAGGGCTGGCAGTGACGGCAAGGCTAACTACTGTACCCTTGGTGCCTAGAGCAGGGCCAGGCACATAATAGGTGCTCAGAGAAATGCACTGTGCTATTACAAGGCCATCGGGGACAGTGCAGGCTTAAGAGAAGGAATCCAGCTGCTCTGCAGGCTCTGCAGCCTAAGGGCTTGGCTTGAAATTTTTTCTGCTGCAGGAATAGTGTTGCCGTTTGGGGGTTGGGGGCACACAGACCCCTGCACCCTAGTCTTAAGCAAGGAAGGCTGTGGTTGGTTGTGGGATTAAAGAGTTTTTTGGGATGTTGTGGGGAAGGCAGGCCTGGGGCGGCAGGGGCTCAGGGTCCAGGTGAGAGAGGATGGGGGCTTACTGTAGAGAGGGCTCTGGGCTGGGAAGAAGTGGATAGACTCAAGGGATATTTTGGTGATTGTTGGGACATGGGAGGGGCATGTGTGGAGGGAAAGGGTCAGTCTAGGACTTGCTGATCTTGAGGGGCCTTGTGGGATGCACAAGGGCCTTGTAGGACATCCAGGGGACAGGTGGGAGCAGGAGACAGGTCAGCATTGGCGAGAGATAGGGGAGAGGCTAGTGAACAGGTGGCTAGGGAAGTCACGAGAGTGGAGGTCTCCTAGGATGATGTGGCTGGAGCATGAGCGGAGAGTTTGGACAGGGAGCTGAGCCCTGCAGGCAATGACACTTATTGAGAACCTACTTTATGCCAGGCTGTGGGGATACAGCTGTGACTAAGACAGATCAAAATCCCTGGCCTGGTGTTCACATTCTGTTGAGGCGAGACAAATAATTAGACAACTAGATGAAGCAGGAAAATATACAGTTGCATTCGATGATATAAGCTAAGGAGGAAAATAAGGCAGCAGGAAGTGTGGATAGAAGGTGCCCAGGAAGGTGTGATGGAGAGGTCGCACGAGAAGACCATGTCTGAGTAAACACGAGAAGGAAGCAAGTGGGGGAGCCATGCAGGTATCTGGAGGGAGAGCATTCCAGGCAGAGGGAACAGCAAATGCAAAGGTCCTGAGGCAGGATGTGCTGCAACTTCAAGGAACAGGAGCAAGGCAAGTGGTTGGAAAGGAGTGAGTGAGGCAGGAAGAGTAATAGAGTTGAAATCGGGAGGAAATATTTTGCAAAAGGCAATCGGTCAACATCACTAGCCATTGGGGAAATGCAGAACTATGGTGAGATACCACTTCACAGACAGTAGGATGATCATAATAATAGTTTTTAAAAAGGAAAACACAAGAGTGTGGAGAATGTTGTGCATCACCGGTGGGAATGAAAAATGATGCAGCCAGTGTGGAAAACAGTCCAAGATAGAGTTTACCACAGACCCAGCAACACACTTTTAGGTATCTATTCAAAGGAATTGAAAGCGGGAACTAGAACAAATACATGCACTCATGTTCACAGTAGAATTATTCACAATAGCCAGAAGGTGGAAACAATCTCAGCATCCATCAGCTGATGAATAGATAAACAAAATGTGCTCCATCCGTACAGGGGAATATCATCCAGCCACGAAAGGAATGAAATAGTGATATAAGCTACAATGTGGATGAACCTCGAAAACACTATGCACAGTGAAAGAAGTCAGACACGAATGGTCGCATATTGTTTGATTTCATTTATATAAAATTTCCAGAACAGACAAATCCATAGAAACGGGAATCAGATGGCAGTCTGCAGGGTCTGAGGGAGGGAGGGAGGGACAGAGTGACTGATTGAAAGAGTGACTGGATCTCCTTTGAGGGTGATGAAAATGTTTTCAAAGGAGTTTTGTTCACACAACCCATGAATGTACTAAATGCCTCTGACTTGTATATTCTAAATGGTGAATTTTATATTATGCAAATTTTATCTCAATTAAAAACAAAAAGGGCGTGTTAACTTTTTTTAAAAACTCAGCTAAATTTTGATTTGATAATACACGCATATTGCACAAACTTCAAAGCCACAAAGTGGTACAAAGGTGAAAACTTAATCTCCTCTTTCCAGCCGCTCAGTTACCCTCTCTGGAGCTTCTCCG